AGTCAATAAATAGCATACCCACGGACAACAAATTCGTCTGACTAGTATTACTGTTTACATGCAAGCTGAGACTACATGTAATCAGACTGATGCTGTTATAGATGAATGACTTTACTATCTCACATTGCAGGAAGAATATTGTTACAAAGTTATCTTATAGTTACATGACTGCATTTGCATAATAATATTATAGTAGAAAATTAATATGTAAATGTTTGTTAAGAATAAAAAACTATATAAATAAATTTATTTATTACAAAAAATATTACCTCGGTCGGAAGTCGAACTCGGACCTCTAGCATTCCGTACAAACATCTTAGATTACCAAGGCTATAAATTATTAATATTATACAAGGCTGAGATAAATTATTAATATGATATAATTATGGATTTTAATATTAAAGTGAAAAACTAATTAAAATTCATTAGTGAAACAAAAGTTTTATCGTAAATAAATAATTTAATTTTCCATTTGTTAACTAATTTCGTAACATTAAGTTTATTTCCAAATATTAACAATTTTAATACTAATGAAATCATTAGTAAATAAGAACTATTCAATTAACTATTCAACTATTGTGTACTGAAATCTTTTCTCAATGAATTAATTGCTTCGTTCTGAAGAAAAAAAATATACAAGGTATCCTAAACTTTTTGACATACCAGTGAGCAGATAGAACGGACTAAACTAAGTCGAAAAGTTCTTTACTATTTTGTAATTTTAGTAATTTTTTTTGTTACCTAATGAGCAGAGTGTCTAAAATCGACACATAAAATAATTTTAAGATATTGTTAAAAATTCTTTAAGAAACATTTTTAAGATGTTTCATTAAAAAACTCTGAAAGATATCTTAAATATGTCTTATGCATCGATTTACCTACTTACCCGACAATCTTTAGAAATTAATATCTCGTTAACTATAAGAAAAGTGATAGAGAACTTTTGCAGTTTAGTCCAGTCTATCTCTGCCCACAAATGTATTAAAAAGTTTGTGAAACCCTATATATATATATATGTATATGTATACACATATATATAGAAAGAAACAGCTTATTTAATCTAGATTAGAACTAAAAAATATAGACTATATTATAGATATATTAATATAAACAAAAAGTTATTGTTAAGTTAACTCAACGTTAACTTAAAATTAAATAAAATGCAAAAAATTAAATAAAATTATTTTAACAAATATTTGCAAAAATATCGGAATCTTATAATATAAAATGTCTAAATAAACATATCAATTTTTCAAACCTTTTTAAATTGTTTGAAAGAGATACCATGCTATTTGATCGAATCATTAATCATTATCTTAAAAATTAATCTTTATTTAATAAACCCTGAAAAATTCTTTCAATAAAAATAAAAATGACATAAAGTAATTCAGCATTTATTGATTCACACCCCGAAGTTCTCTTATTATAATATTTATAATAATCATCGTTAGAATCATGGTAATAGTAATAATTAATAATAATAAATCGTTATTTTCGAATTATTGTACATCGATATATTATCTCATATAATATCTATATCTCATAGATGTGCTCTATATTAATATTAATATTTATATATTTATAGACTTCTCTATTCTGCTTTCCGATTAGAGAATAGATTTAAAAAATTCTCTATACACTTTATCACCTGCCAAGAATAAATTCTGGCAACAAGAATCAAAAACCATGCTTGCTTAAAAAGAAACCATATCCCCATCAAATATTGTTAATTTTTTAACATTTTTTTCTCTTTTGCCGAAAAAACTTATGTTTATCGAAAATTAATCTGAGAATTAATTAAAAGTTAATTTCAGAATTAACTTTCGATATTAATTATTATTAATAAATAATTTATATTTTCAAATTTAATCAGTAAAATCAATAAAATAGTTCAAATTGTCAAATAATTAGAGAGAAGAAAAATAATTAGGTTTATTAAACATGATAAATACGTTAGAAATAACGTATTTTATTAATAACAATTAATATCGAAGATAATGAAAAGAAAGCTTTTTACTTTCATTTCTTTTTTTACGCAGAAGCCAGCATTATCGCATTTTTACAATAAAAAAAATTTACAGTAAATATAGTTATTATAGTCTATAAATTTACAGAACTCATACTAAAGATACAATTTCGTACTTAAAAATAGGCTTTATAAGTTACGAAATTATTCTATATCAATGATCGTAATAATGATCATAACAATGATTGTCGATGTACATAATATTAACAATTACAATAACAAAGCGATAAGCCTCGCTTCTGCCGCAGACAAAACACTATGCAATTGACTTATACCTATTATTCCCTTCGAAAATTAGGGATCCAGAAACCGATATAATTTCGGTGAATTTAGTCGAAAACTTCGTAACAAAAGTATGTAACCTTCGTCATAAAGTTTATTTTTTTCTGAAAGATATAAAAAGCATTATAATTTATTTACATAGTCCATATATATATATAAATCCATTTTTAATAAATAGATGATTAATATAAATCATTAATTAGGTCAAATAACTTCATAATTTAAATAGGAAGAAAAAGTTCTCTTGACTTTTTCGTAAACTAATTAAAAATATTTTTACTATATATTTGAAAATAATGATGTCATAGGATAATAAATACAAGACAAATCTGAATTCAAACTATCACGCAGAATGTTAGAGCAATAATTGATCATTTGCAGGAATATTTTGACTTTACTTTTAGCATTGCACAATAAGTTAAAAATGACTTATAAAGAGTTTCAAAATGTTCCTAAAATTCATATAGACCTATATACATTTTTGTTCCAATATTCTACACTACACTTCGAGCTTGTTCTTTGAGTTCGATTTGTCCGTGATTATTAGATTATTTAAAACCTTTTTCTTTTACGTTTTAATCTATATAAATAGGATGTGAAAGGATTAAGTGTGAGATAACTGGAAAGAGGGATGATACTTCGCGTAAAAATAAAACGAAATAATAAGTCGAAATTAATAATAATAATACAACCTTTTTCATATCACATCATGTTCAAAATTTTACATTTTATTATTTCATATTTAATGATATTCTTTTTTCTTTAATTTCGAGCTCTATTTCGAAAATTGATAAATCAAAATCCGACCAAATTACACCGGTTTCTTGATTTCGATCTTTTCGAGTCTTTCATTAATTTTTATCACGTGACTTTCGATCGCGTAATAATTAATTCATGATTAAGAAAAAAAAAAGAAAAACGCGATGTGGTGCTATATGCAAAAAGGACTAGACACTACATTGTTGTTATCGGAATTAAATAGTAAGAAACGAAGACTATATTACGTCGAAAAAATGAAGAAGCATTTCCGAAGAAATGTTTCTAGCGATTTTGTACTTTTTTGATTAAAGATTTGTTACAATCGCTCTCTCTTTCGTTCGCTAGAATGCGTCGTTAGATGTGTGAGTGAATGAGTGCGTGTGTATATCGGCTGTTCAATAATAATTCTAACGCTTAAACATATGTGCTCATCTCTTTAATTTCTTCTTCATCGCTTCTTATAAAAGGTCATATAGTGTTATCTATAATATTTAACACGAGTGAACCACACTTACGCGAAAAATGTAATATATTATTATTTTTATTATTATTAGATAACAATATATTATACTCCTCGCATAAAAATAAAATTTTTTTTTTCTTTATAGAGCAAAAAGCACAGTTTTTTCACAAGTCCATTAGTTATATTTTTTTTCCTATTAACACACCGTTGGAGATAAACGCTCTAGATCCGCGCGATTTCGATCATTAAAAAGGGGACAGATCGTTGTTCGTTTGTGTTCGGCTGCTTGATTTCTTTAACGCAGCTCTAAGTTATAACAAGTGAAACGACTTAAAGACGATTATACACGGAATTTGTTGACTTTTCTAGATTACTATCCTTAAGGATCGCGTCTCAGATATATCGGAACTCGTATCATGACAAGATGTTCTATATCAATCTTTAGTGGCAGAGTTTTGTAGCCAAAAAAACGTTACATTTCTTAAAATATTTTTAAATTTATTCAAAATATATGTAAAATTAAATTTAAAAAATTTTATTGGAAAAAAATTATCCCAAAAGTAAGACGAATGTTTTGCATCAAATTGTAATCTATGAAAATTCTTATCTTTAAATTTATTTATTGGATTTTACATTTGAAGATAAGAAACTTTCATGATTAGCAATCATTATTTGAATAATGAATTCTTAACTTTTATGTCTCGGAATTAAATATTCAAAATTTTTAAAATTACTGATATCTAAGTTTTTTTTTTAAGAGAGAAAAATAGACTAAAAAGTCTGCCATTAAATCACATTTATTATTTCGTTTGTCGTTATAATGGAACGCGACAAACACTCAAAAACTTGTCCAAACGTTTCCACAAAATTCCGTAATATTTTGCGAGAGAAAAAGTTTTAAACATTTTTCCTCCTCCAAGACTACATTTTTACAAACTATCTGTGAAAAAATTTTATTTTCAATAGCCTAACAATTAAATTTCTATTATTATGCAAAACGATTCGACAATGTGTAACAAACGACAATGTTTTCCACTTTCGCTCATCATCACTGGCAATGAATTGTATAACACTTATATGTATTGTTTAAACATCTCCATACTTATATATAATATATTCAACATTCCCTTTTCCACATCAAAAAATTAAACTTGTATTTTCTTTCCATGTTTTATCACGATAAAAAATTGTTACATCAGTTTTCTTAAGTTGCATTAACATCAACATATGATAAAAATAATTTTTCCCAAGAAAAGATTTTTACAACAAACTGTCATTGTTTCTTATAACTAAACGTTTCTAACAAACGTATGCTACCTTAATCACAAAAAAAATTTTTTTCAATAATAACAAAAATATATCAATGCATAAAGTTTGTTATATTCCGTAAATTCTAATTTAAATTTTATAATTTTAGTTTGCAAAGCAATGTGACAGTTTTTCTAACTTTTTGAATGGTACATTGCCAGTGTATGGACGTAGTAGCTTTTCTGTATTGAGTTACTCATGAAAGTATGGCATTCATGTATAGAGTTTTCGTTTTATAATACTAACCATTTTATAATTTTCTGTCGAGAATAAACTTGTGAGAAATGGAGATGCTTCTCATGTCAGTCGCAACACTTCTCTCTTAAAATTACTATATTACTCATCTTCAGTATCACCATCGCTACTATAATCCTGTAATGTGGGTGGTCTGGAGAAGGGTGCCTCGTTAGTTTGACTGCAATATTCAGAGAAAGAAAAATTATTTATCCGAATCTTATTAATATCGTATTCACATTGTATAATCTTAATTAGTTTATGTTCTTTATATTAAAATTGTTCTTTTAAATTGCATTATATTACAGTTATAATCTCTTTAACACAGTTCAAGAAAATTACTCACGCTAATCTACGATAATGATTCAACCACTCTTCCAACATCTGCGCAACAAGCAACGGTCTCTTGTGAAGTTTCTGCTGTGCTACAAGTATTCCACCCTCTGTTCTGCATACATCCAACCATTCTTTATAGATTGATTCCTCACGGCCGATTTCATCTGTCGTGAGAAAGTGTATTGGCAGGAGCTTATGTTCGCGATCCATTAGTGGCATAAAGGTGGTCTGCATTTGAATCTGTAGCTGCTCGAGTGGACTATTGTTCCCGCTCACTACCCCATGAGTCGCAAGGGGCGGTATTCTGGACGAGGCGTACGGCTCGATTGGAACCAACGCTGTGAAATGGCCACGGGTATAACCCAATGCGATTGGTGAACGGATGCAAAATGAGGGTTCCCATAATAGTGGTAGATAAACGCCCTCAAATCTTGCATAGCCTGCAAAGTAACAGAAACACTTGATATGTATTATCTCAAATGGAATAAAAATTCCTTTCTAAATAGTAAAAGATTCTGAAGAAACTTAAATCTTATAAAGCTTGAGATTTCAAAAAGAAAAATTTAGAGAAAATGTCATAAAATTTTTAAAGTGTTGCATATACGGATACAAAAAAATATAATTACTATTTATAAATTTAGTTATAACTAATTTAATTAAAAACATTAAATAAACAAATATATAGAGAAACAGGGCAATGAGCCAATAAACTCGTTAAAATCTTTATATTATTATTCTTCGCAATATATTAGATTAATTTAAAGATTTTAACGAGTTTATTGGCTCATTGCCCTGTTTTTCTATATATTAATTTAAAAAACTTTATTGAGTCTTATTACAAACAATTAAATAAACATTTAAAAAATTATGAATTTAAGATTAATATAACATAATCACATAAATATTCAATAAATAATTAAAAAGCTAAAGATAATTGATAATGGATTTTAAATTTTAAAGATTTTACATCTCTAAATAAATTAAAAAATTATTTTATAAATTTATTTATCGATGTAAAATCTAAAAAAATAAGTTTATAAATTAGTAATTTATTACTAAATGAGAGCAAAAAAGTATTTTTTCTAAGTTCACCTATATCTTCACCGCGAAAACTTTTAACATATTTAACTCCGTAGACTATAATGGGTCGTCTTAAAATATGGGCAAGGGCAAACACGTGCAATTGTTCTAACGCGCTTCCGGGTTGAGCGGCCGTTGCTAACAAGCTTTCCCAGTCTTCTTGCCATTGTGTTTCTTCTAAAGTGAAATCTAACATCCTAGATGCTTGTGAGGCTTCATACTCTCTCCAACGAGGATAAAAGCTAAAAAATTGATTTTGTTTAAAAATGCATGAAACCCATTCTTACTAAATATAACCTAAAAATATATATTTATTTATTAAATAAACTTTTATATAATTATTTTTCATTCTTTTAAGAATTAATAATTTAATACTTTTTTTACAATTTTACTCATTTTCTTCTTTTATTGTTATTATTCCATCTATTAGTTAGTCCACTAATCATTATTATAAATTGAAAAAGTTAAATAACTATCTAACTTTTTATTTTAAACAATATTTAAATATTAACCGTTAAAAGCTTTCTCTTATTGGTTTCTGTATTAATATTTATTATAAATTTGTTTATTCGTTTTTTAAGCGTTATTCATAATTTACACCTAAATTTTAATATACATATATCTATATATATGTATATTCATATCATAAAAGATTAAATTAGAGTAAATTATAGATTAAAATATAAATTACACAATATATATTTAATTGCAAATCTTACAATTGTCCAGCTTGTTGTAGGGTGTCAGCAAGCGCTCTCCTTAGAGCATTGTCTCTGTCAAAAACACCCCAAGTAGCTTGCATAGCAGAATCTAGAAGACAATCTCCTGCCGATCGGTTCCAGAGTGCATGTAAACGACTACCTAATCGTTCAGTAATTTCTAAAGACCAATTTAGAGCTGGCGGTTCGCCACCACCGCCTTCCAATTGTTGCTGAGCTTCCTTATCTAACAATTCCTCTAGCATTTGCTCTTGTACAATACTCGGCAGATCCTCAACCTAAAAATATATTTCAAATATAAACATATACACACACACACACACACACACACACATATATACACATATATAAAACATATGATATCTTTTATATATATGATTATTTTTTAGTAAGTTATTTATTTAGTAATTATTTCAAATATAGAAATTAGATTGAGCGACGTTCAAAGATTATTTATTATGAAAAAATGTTTACTTTTAGTGAAAAATTAAAATATTTACTTTTCGTTCAATTTATATTAAATCGTAATATATGTTATAATAACCTCAGCTGGCAATGCGAAGGTAGCCATATCGGTAACGAAATAACAGGGGAACGAGCCCTTGCGTAAGCGTATACTGTTGGTGACATGTCGGCGAATCTGTACCGCGAGATCAGGTGCGACGTAACTTGGTACTCTTTTCACCCCGGAACCCGAACCTTCAATTTGTGACAGCAATGTTGCTAAAATATCTTCTCTTTGAAACCTGTAGAAAACCCCCAATTAGAATTCTATTAATTTATTAATGTTAAGAACCGTATTTTATATAGTAATATCAATTGATGAAAGCATTTATTTAAATTATATGTGTTTACCTAATAGCCAAGTGCACTAAAGTGTGCCCAACGTCAAACGCGCTGCTTCTATTGAGGAGCAAGACCTCAGAATGCGTTAATTGGCGGGCAGGATCGCCGCCGCTTGCCAGGTAAGCTTCAACAGGAGTATTGTCACCCTCAACAATACCGAGACAAGCGTTTAGCCAACACCAATCAGTATGGCGTCTTAACTGCTTCAATCGACGCTCATAATCACAGTTATTTGGAGATTGAGGAGTCGATAAACTATCATTTCGACTTTCTGCATACCTATGTGGACCTCTGAAAAATTAAACATACATTATAAATTAAATTTATTAACAGAATATTATATTCTTCTGTTAATATATTATATTCTGTTAGTATATTATAACGCATATTTGTAACTTAAAAAATATAGTCAGAAATTACATCTACTTAAAATAAAATATTGAACTTTGATATTGTTAATCTTTAAATACATTTCCTCTAAATATATATTTGTATATTTTCTCTACAAATGTGAAATACAAAATATTACTTTAGTCTCACCTCCTTCCTATCGCTAAATTATCCTCTCTTTGCGTCTGATGAATATATGGTGCATGTGGGGGTGATGGCAAGCCTCGTTGAGTATGTTCCCTCTCAGGACTCGGTAAAATCACCCCTACATTTCCTTGTGTTCCCTTATCCCTTCTATCCTTCTCCTTTGGATGACCACACATAACACATTTAGTCGCTTTGGGCCAGTTCTCATAAGTACATACATGACAGGACCATTTTTCTGGATGCATATTGTACAATCTTTCCGGGTGGAGATTAATCGGCGAGGGATTCAATTGGGAATTCGATCCCGAGTTTGGTGGTCCATCGGCCAATCGTAATGGTGCTAAATGTTCATGTAGATTCGATGCTAATGAATTGACAGACTGATTGATCGGCTTCCGGTTGCTGCACTGTATACACCGCGTTGTATTCTGATAATTAAGATAAGTGCACATGCTGCAGGCCCACTTTCCTGCCGAAGGCAGATTCTGGCTGTAATTTTGCGAGGTAAAATTGTCCGTAGGGCTTATCTGAGATACAGGACCGGAAGCAACGTTGGAGGAACCTCTTTGAGGGCTAGGATCTCGAAGACGATAAATATCTTCGCCCAGAAGAGGCTTGGCGCCCCTGCACATGGTGCATTTTAAAGAAGAGGGCCAATTCTCATAAGTGCAGTATTCGCAAGTCCATTTCTGCTCTGTTTCCTCGAGTCTGCTGGTCATCTTCAATGGATGGAGAAATTAATTGATAGAGCTTTTGGTCTTGTTGTCAAAAGGGATGCAATATTTCTCAATACGGAAGAAAAGTTGAAAGATGACGTTGAAATGTGCACTAGACATTAAATATCCTAAATATCCTAGTTGAATTTTCTATGCTGTGCAGCGCACAGTCTATTGGGAGTTTTGTGACCAAGTGGTTTATAGCCCAGTATACGCTATGTGATCAACATTATGATCGATTGTAATTAAATAAAGCTACTAGAGATATGCCAATGTAGACATTGGTGGAAGAACCTGAAAAAAATATATATATTTATATAAAATATATAAAAAGTAGAAATTGAGATATATATGTATGTGTGTGTGTGACATAAAATATTATATGTTATTGTTCGTATAATTTAAAGCAATAATGGATGATTTTTATTTGATAATAAGAGTCGACACAGGTATTGTTCTGTTTTTGTTATTTATGGAATGCCAAGAAAGACAAAATAATGTTTGTGTCGACTTGTGCTACTTCTTGCATTTTAAATGAGATAAATATGTTATCTAAATATGCAAAAAAAGAAAAGTTAAATAAATATTAAAAGAACTAAAATTACAAGAGAGAAAAAAGGATAAAGACATACAGAAAATATGATAAGAAGAATAAATTTTTGCTATCAAGTCATTTTATTTAGTAAGATATTTTCACAAAGAGAAAGAAAAAGCAAAGTGAGCAAAGAAACATCCACTGATAAGCTATGTTTATTGTAATTGTTAGTTGTACACTTTATCTCTTCTTTCTTTCTTTAGTCTGCATCTTGCTTTTATAGAAAATGCGAAAAAAGCACGATTGAAATGAAAACATCTAAAGGTATATGTATAAGAATTATGCTTATACATTGTATACTAAAATACACAAAGTATAAAATGAAAAAACAGATATTCGGATATTTAAAGTTGAATATTCAAATGCAAAGGAGATAAAAGTCTGATTTTTTAATCGTTTCTGCATGTGACCTTCTCATGTATATCATGTATATTCTTATGTCAAGCATAATAATTGTACAAGTGGTTGCATGATCGTTTCTAATGACTTTGAAAGCAGACACATAGAGACACTTTAAATGTACAAAATTGAAGTGCTTGTGTGGCGCTCGCTCCTTTTAGCCGAACTTTAGCGAAGTTGGTGAACACGCGGTACCGCGTGATCAATCCTCCCATGATACCTTCTTCGCGTCCTCGGAAAAAAAAAAAAACCTAACCTGGCGGAACGAGAAACCGCAGTTCTTCCGTTAAGAAGTCCTTCGGCGAGCATGAGAAATGATGAAAATTTAGGAAATCGAGTAATTCGTGCTACTTTTTGGACGGTCAAGAAGCGCGCGACTATCTCTAAAGCAGTTGAAGAACTGGTAACCTTGACGTTATCCCGTGCCACCTTGTGGAGCCCTGCACGTTGCCAGCTACCGTCACACTCGACTATCCTCCATAAGAGATCCCTCAGATCAGCACCGTCCAGTCGACTCGTGTACTATTCATGCACCAGCGAGCGCGCAGTTTTCATAGCGCACCGCTCGCGTTCGCGGGAACGGGCAGGTAGGTTAAGCTCGGTCGCTCGCACGCACGCACACGTACGTGCTTGTACACGCGCACGATCAATTTCGCGAGCGCCCTTCCTTCCTTCCTTCGGGATTATCCGACGACGATATAACGACGACAACGACGACGATGATGATGAGGAACGCGGGACACAGTAAAAGAGAAAGACAACGACAGCAACGTCTCCCTCCCTCTCTTTCTTTCTTTTTTTTCTCTCTCTCTCTCTCTCTCTCTCGTCTTGACGAAGACACGGTAGAGAAGACAGGAGAAGCGCGAGTCGCTGTCACCGTTGGTCACCGCGTCACGACATCGTCCGCGAGCGTTCGCGCGCGCTCCACGGCGTGCTGCTGCACCGCCTGTCACCCGATGCTGGCGAACTGCTCCGCAAATACGACAGCGGCGGTGACGACGACGACGACGACGACGGCGATCTCGCTCGCTGGCCGCGGAAGTAGGTTTTGACAGTCATTCGCAAACACACGGGTTCCAGTACTGCCAACCACTCGCGCCCCTCCCCCCTACCCTCATACCGTACCGTTACGTCACGGAAGCGTGCGCGCGTGCGCATGCGACGATTGGAGTTAATTCGGAGTGCGCGCGTGATCGCGGCTAACCTCAAATTTTGCGTTCCTCTCGCGGCGATGAGATCGCCAATGGATATCCGTCAGTCTTTCGTTAGGAATGTATATATAATTTCAACAATCAGCTGGACCACCTAATCTCAATCTTTTCGTCAGGAAACATGCGTATGGATAATCTAACCTAACTTTTAGTTTTCATCGACAATCTCGCAGTGTTTATGTTTTTTTTTCTCTCTTCGCGAGGATAAATTCGCGACGATCCAGTCAGGACAAATCGAGGGACAAATCAAATACCGAGTACGATTGAACAGTTTCTATGGGATACATGTGAGATTAGCGGAAAATGTGATTTAAAAATGGTACCTGCCTATGCGAGATATATGCGATCAAAAGTTATCGATAACCGCGGTAATCTCGTTGGAAAAATAAGATCCCAGAGATTTTACTTTATCTTCGATTATACGAATGACGTCAATGTTCTCAGCTGAGTTTGTTGATCCCGTTACATCATACAAGGCTGATCTAACCTCAAATCGCGATTCCGAGTATAATAGTATCTTTTCCGCAAATTGGAAACCATTGAAAAATATTCAAGAGACATTTTTTCACTCTTGACATCCTGAACGATGCACCATACGAGGTTTCTGATAAAAGGACAAGCAACGTCTGATTTGATTTTCTGCGCGTATCCTTGACAATTTGACTCTCCGATCTTCGTAAGCAATGCTTAAAGAATTGAATTTGCTCATCCACTTTCGGATTCGTTCGCTCGGCTTTCGTTCTATTTGACGACTTTTTGCACTGAAATTCAATCTGAGTTCTCCTTCGAAAAATGAGAAAGATGATCGCATCGGCGCTATTGACCATTTGCGAGGCTATTTTTTATTTATAAATATCTCGGACCCGTTGCCAATTGGGACCACTTAGTCTAAAACGTTTCTCCTTGACATTTCATTGACGACATTGTGAGATTGTTCCGAAACTGTCGGCTAGCTGTTGCAAGTACCACAGTAGATTTTTCCATTTTTTTTGTTTCAGTACATAAATGTATTATTATATCCTTAGGTCTCTACAGCAGGTCTTTTTAATGGGAATTCATTTGTTATAACTGCTCTGATTTTCCAGATTTTAAATCTATATTAAAATAACTTGGTAATAAAGAGAATTCATGAAACAAAAAAACTATAACTAATGTAATGAATATAAATATCTTTTATTTTATAACATTTTTTGATTGACATAATTGGAAGATTTGATTTGAGTTAAAAATGATTAAATCGATTAAACTTGTTAAAAAATTCATGTTCATCTGAACACATAATTTGGATATTGTAAGACGCAACTAGGATGCTAATCTGATTCTCAAATGAATTGAAGAAGCAACATTATGTTTTATTTTAGATGCCAGAATCATGTTTTATTTTAAACATACAAAGTGTAACTCAGCATAGCTAAAAACACACTTTATGTCGTCTCACGATAACGTTACTATCTGAATCAATTAAAAAACGGCTAAGATACTTCAATAATATTGACTGACTCTCATTACCAAAAAAGTTATTTAATTACATAAAAGAATCACAATGACGAAAATGGATGAAATGATGATACTGGTGTTGTACGGAAGCGAGACCGGAACCGCTCAAGATGTTGCTGAACAAATCTGGAAGAGCGCCAAAAGGTTTGTTGTTGTTCCTCTTTGGCACATAAACCTTCTCTGAGAAAATTTCTGGCATGCAAACCCTACACTCGTGTCTTTAAATGATGTTTAACAGATGTTATTTACTTTTATTCTTAACATCTATTATTTTTCTTATATAATTAACTTTATTATAGACATATCTTTTTCCAACTAACATTATTAAAAAAAATGAAATCAGCGATAAAGATTCACCAAAATTATTCCTCTTTTCGGCACATTTATGTGTTAATCAAAATAATTTATAATTTTACACACATATGAAGGAATAAATAAAATAAAAATGAATACAGAGAAAAAACAGATAAAACAATATTTCACTCTTTATACATGAAGTTTATTTTAAGTCATTTAATTGTATAAGTGATATTTTATTTTGATTAATTATGCTTTATATAAATAAAATTTTCTTATGAATTTTTTCATTTTCCCTTTTTATTTATGTTACAATAAATCTTACTTTATATATTCTATCAAGATATATTTTTTTTTCATTACCATTTTTTATATTTTAAGATAAAAACATAAAAATATTTTGTTTTGATTTATAAAATAAGTAAGTATTGATATTTGAAAAATAGAATATCTCTTATTCCTTTCTTATATAAAAAATAGAAAATTTTGTTAAAGTTTAAAACATGTATAATTGTATAACATTCCAATTTGAAGCTGAGAGTATATAATGCATATTTTTAATATTACAGAAAAGGATTGCGAAGCACAGTATCATCTCTGGATGATTATGATGTTCAAAATCTCTCTTCCGAACAATTGATTATCTTCGTTGTCGCAACAACTGGACAAGGAGACCCTCCAGCTAACATGAAACAATTCTGGAGATATCTGTTACGCAAGACTCTCCCAGTAATCATGCTTCAAAGTTTAAAATATGGCGTACTTGGATTGGGCGATAGTTCTTATTTAAAATTCAATTTTGCTGCAAAGAAATTAAATAAACGTCTTGCGCAATTAGGTGGCAAAGAATTATTACCGATTGGACTTGCCGATGATCAGCACAATCTAGGAATTGATGCTGTAGTCGATCCCTGGATCAAAAAATTATGGGAAGAAATTGCAGACGTTTTCAAAATTTCTATAGAAGATAAAATAAACAAAGAAGATTTGATAATTGAGAGATATAATGTTTTAATAATAAAAATGGACCAATTAAATCCAATACACATTGATAAACGTTTACTAAACATTCCGTATCATTTAAATACTGACATCTATGCACAAGAAACATTTATCAATAACGATATCAAAATAGGAACAATAATTGAAAATATAAGAACTACTTCCCAAGATCATTTTCAAGATGTTAGATTGATAACAATCGAAGCGAATAATATTAATTACGACCCTGGAGACGTTATTTACATTAGATCGAAAAATACAGCAGAACAAGTAAAACGATTCTTTGATATACTACATGAACATGATATAAAATTGTTTCCAGATACAACAATTCAAGTATCGGAGAAGGAGATAAAGATTCCATTTGTTTTAAAACGAAATTTAACTTTAGGAGAGGTTGTTGAGCAATATTGGGATCTGAATTTCAAGCCACGAAGATCTACCATGCACACTTTGTCCCTTATCAGCGAAAATGAATTAGAAAAAGAAAAACTATGCGAATTTGCCAGTCCAATTGGTCAAGAAGAGCTTTATGATTATATAAACAGGCCAAGGAGAAATATTTTAGAGGTCCTCACAGATTTCCCATACACAACCAGTAAATTAAACATTCAATTATTGTTTGAAATCATGTCACCCATAAAGCCACGTCCTTATAGCATTGCCTCTAGTTTAAAAGATACTCCAAATAGAATACAAGTTCTAGTAGCAGTAGTTAAATTTAAGACTAGATTGGTAGAGCCGAGATTTGGGTTATGTTCAAAGTGGTTGGCAAATTTAAATAATAATGATAAAGTGATATTTTGGTTGCAAAAGGGAACTTTTCGGTTTAATAATGATAAGCCGATGATTTTGATTGGTCCTGGAACTGGAGTGGCTCCGTTTAGATCTTTGCTTTTAGAGAAAGCAAAAGAAGAAAATAATTTAAAAGAATGTATCCTATTTTTTGGATGTAGAAATAAGAATAAGGATTATCATTGCAAAGAAGATTTTGAATGCTTATCAAGAAATAATAATTTGAAAGTATTCTGCGCATTTTCCAGAGATCAACATCACAAAATGTAAATCATTAAAATAAATTAATTTAAATTATTTTTATTGTTTCACAAATACAATATAAATTCAAAGATAAGATAAAGTTTATTATTTTGAAATTAATGATAAAAAAATGTACTACATGCATTAAATCCTAACTTTCTTAATCACACTTTCAATATTTTTTCAGATACGTGCAACATCTTATTCGCCAACAACGAGAGCTATGCTGGCAATTTTTAGAAAACAATGGTAGTATTTATTTAGCAGGAAATTCTAAAAATATGCCGGATAATGTGCGTGACGAATTTGTTAGTTTAGCAAAAGAAACTGGAAAAATGACAAAAGAGCAAGCAGAAACGTTCATCAAGCATTTAGAGAAGAACAATCGTTATCAAACAGAAACTTGGGGTTGATGGAAAAATTGTCAAGATTTAGGGAAAATATCTAATAGGTAAAATGTCTAATAGGTAATTTGTACAAAAGATGTATTGTGTATGTCATGTGATGAAAATTTATATTATCTATACTTTATACAGAAGCATACATTAAAAATATACAAATATTTCTAAGTAATAATAATTACTTTTTAAATTCCTGTAATGCACTCTATTATTGGTATTTTCTTATCTATTAACAGAACTTTTAATAGCTATCATTATAAAATTGTACAACTACAACTTGAATAATTAACGCAAGCTTATAAGCAAGTTTCATTCGAGATTCGATATTTATAAAGCATAAGGATTTCATTAATGAGATTAAAATAGATGCACTGCTGCTTGCATTACATAACGCTTTTTTTGTCGTTTATAGTTTTATCTTCATCCTTTTACCACGTTGTTTAAACATTCACAAGGTCACCTTTTATATAATTATTAGATCTATCTATGTTACATCACCGCGTTTGTATAAAGAAATCAACAAATCGCTGGTCCAAAGCGAACGAATTATAATACCATGTTCTTTATATTGTACGCGTGATCGGTTTTCTTTGTATATTCAAAATCTGTGCTGTCAATATCAGGCCTATTCTATAACTTTTATCACATATTTCGTTATAATGACAAAAAGCAGGTAGCAGAGTTCTCAAGTTTCTCTCTGGTGCTGCATTGCAAGTCCATTTGAACAGAATTGTAAAAAACAGGACTGTACATATATATGACGAAAATGATAATTACGAGTCTCATAATTATCAATGCTGCTCGATTTCTTATTTTTCATTTAACATTTTCTCCATTCGGAGTAAAAAAGATCAGACTTTAAAGAGGGGAGATAAGAAAAACGCGGTTGAAATTACGATGCAGGCGTAAACAGGCACAACGTTATGCTTCATCGAGCATGATTTATCACGCATGATTATTAATATCAGTAGCCACGTTGTCGCTCCTACGAGTTTCAATTTCCATTCTTGAACAATCGTCGATCAGTGACGATCAGCGACCGTTGTGAGTCGCACGGAAACGCGAGAGTGAGTAGGTAAAATTGCGCACCTTTTCCGCATCAATTCCGCAGCCTTTTCGCATCCCTTCCGCAAGCCCTTTATCGAAGAACTGCTCTTTCAATTGCTGCTCATAGTGCAGTTGCTCATAGTTGCTGCAGTAAGTTGAAGTAAAAGAAATAATAGTCTTTCACTTTAAATTATTACACCGTGTGCACCAATTCAAAGAGTTCATCGATAAAAAGTAGAGCTATATTCTCTATTTCATGTTTCCATATATTATCTATATAACAATAGATTGTACCAAATCATTAATAAAAATAATAGCGCACATCTTCGTTCTAAATTCCTACAATATGACATATTTTAGGAATTAGTATTTATTTAAGAACGTATCCTTTAGATAATCATAAATAAAAATTACAAAGCAATATAATAATAAAAAACCAAGAATCAAGCTTTAAAAAAATTGATGCAATAAAATTGAATGCTTATATTATTGGCATTTAGATCTTCTAACTTTTAACAGTAATCTCTTGAGAAAATATTTATTTTGCTGGGGCAAATTCCCTCCACAAAATCGTTCATCATGTCAAACTCGATATTACCGACAAAGAAATACATTATCCGAAATCCACTTCGCTTCCGTATACATATATTCACTCATATCCGTCCTACCATTTTGTTTAAGCTATAACAAATTGATTGTAGCATAATATTTCTATTTTAAAATAATTTAAAATGTCATTTGACATTTGATTAATAATATAATCTTCACCACTGAGCTCGAATGATTTGCCACCTAAGACGAAATAATATCTACATATTGGATAAATTATGAACTTTGTCGCAGTCCATCTTCAAACGAAGTGAGATGTTAGTAAATATCAGTGTTATCTTTTAATAATTTATCAATTTAACTAAAAGTGATATTACTGCGGTAGTTGTTTAGTGTTGCGTTGTAAGTCTGAAAAAATTTTCGGCACGCGATTAGAGGGACTACATACGCAGTATATAAAATTCACACATAAATCTAATAAGCATTTGTGATCCAGCTTTGACCGTTAGTGGCTTTGACCATTATTGGTTTCCTTCTTCTTGTATGTTTATTAATAATTTATATTTTATTGTTAAAAAAAGGGGGCTGCTATTACGATCATGACGACAAGCGTCATTCACATATTTACAATGATTTTTGCCTCAGTATTAGTAGCCTCCGATCAGTCTATTAATATAACTACGATATCTGGTAATGGTCCAGTTATAGCACCGGCGTGCCCGTGTCGACAGCAGAATAGTTTGACAGCTATTCACGCATAAAATCGCATCTACTTCAATCCTGCAGTGCGACAGCATTAACAGTTAATTGGTATATGATTTGTCGCTGACACATGTAATATAAAATATATACCTATAATTTAAGAAATAATCACTTACTGATCTAAAGTAAAATTCCAGAATTTTTCATGGGTAACATTGACATATATTTGTCTATGTAAAGCCTTTTATCGGAGCCACCCAATATCAGTTCACTATTACTCAATTTGGACGAAGGATTCCTACACAGATTTTTTTTTATGTGAGAACTCACATTTTTATACTATGGAAAGACAATTATTTTCAAATATGAGAAGATAAACTGTTTAAGTGAAAAATATTTGTGGAAAAGGAGCGCATAGAAAAGATACATACCGATTTAAATAGCAATTAAAAACGGATCGTGGCAACAGGGGCTTTATTTAATTAATAATTATATTAGTAAAAACAAGAGATTTCGAAAGATATCGTAGAGAAACCCATTCCCGAGATACCGTCGAATTTTACATCATCGAATCCCATATCGATTATCGCTTCCTCGGCCGAATAATTTCGAACATTAATACTATAGCAATCTACAAAGTTAATTAATGTGTGGTTTATGAAATTTTTATATTAAAATTTAGATAAAACTGTTCGCTTGTCGATCACATGACTCACATTTATTACATCAGTAGATAAGCATCCTATCACTTTATCCCCATGCATCATCACATACAAAACACTGAAACTTTTATATTTTGGTTTGTATGTGCTGGATTTATTGTGATTGTATCTGTTCGGGTTTTGTGTATATGCGACACTCAATTTTTCGAATATTTGAAATTGTTCGTTGGAGCGAGAAACTTTATATTTTGTTTGCCTAGGGACGATCGATCTGTTGAGATATATGACGTGTCGTAATTGAGTTGAAATACATATATATTCTTTGACGCTACAAATTATAATTCTAAGTTGTTCTTCGACATCGTAGTTTTAAGCAAATAACGTATAACAGTAACTTATATTATGTGACACTGTAAAAAAAGGTTATTAAAATAATAGTTAATCAATTAATATTTAAAAAATAAAAGTGTTAATATAAAAAAATTTCGAAGTTTTTTTATTAGATAGGTTTAATATCGATTTTTACAATTAATATTGATTGTTAAATAATTTGATTTTTATATTTAACTTTAACATTATAAAAAAGCACCGAAAAAATAATGAATACGTTATAACTATAACAATAAGTATATTTTCTAAGTAACGACGACAACGTGTTACTTTTATGAAGTAACTTTTATATAATATAATAACATTCCCAATCCCAGCCGTGTTATGATATGCTTACAACAAGCTGTAATCTTGCATTTTTTTGAACATCCAGAAATTTACGGAAATAGTATCGAAAAGCACATTAAACTCTTGCGGTGGAGTTCCAATAGTGACGCCATATAGTATGTATTATTTCCATCATCATACAGAGATACCCTTATTATATCATCAGTACTCCCAGTGAGAAATGACAATGGAATCGTCATCTAATTGATGTCGATTCGATGTCGAAATCGTCAAATCGATGTCGAATCGATAAACTACGAGAAAAAAGTCTTGTAGAAATAATATACTCGTTTTTGCTTCGTTTTGGAGAAAATCGCAACAAAAGACTCAGCAACTGGTGTAAAATTAAATCCTATAAAATTTTGATAAGTTGAATTCTACCAAATTAAAAACCAAGTGATACTATATCTTTATAGTAATCTTTACTATTTACTTTACTTATAATGATCATTTGTATAACATATTTTATACATATCTTATATACTACAATAAAACCTAAGTATATATCTTTGTAATTCATATTCTAATCCAAGTAGTTTAATTTTTCATTAAAAAAATTGTTCTATCACAATCCATTCAAAGACATTCTTTCTTCCAACTAAAGTAGCAAAATTGTATTATCTCTTCCTCAAATCAAAATGTTACTACAAAGAATTAAAGAAGTAACAGTAACATATTTTTATTAGAAATAAATTTAAATAAGAACGAAGCAGCACGAAATGAGAAAATTTTATTAAAATAACCAAATTTATTATGTAAAAAAACTTGGCGCTGCTGGACAATAAACCTAAATATAACAATAATAATAATAAATCGCTCAAAATATATGTTTAATATGTTTATTTTAAATAATACTGAATAAGGAAAATAATGAAAAGAGATTAAAAAATTTAATAATACTAAATAAAGAGAAAGTAAAATTTTTATGTTCCTTTTTCAAACGTCGCATCTCGTAGACACTCGGCGCTCCTCGGCCCTTCTCGGTCCTCTTCGGCCCTTCTCGGCGCTCTTCGGCGACACGCCGCGCCGCATATCTTGATGAACTCGTAACTGCTCGTAACCCCCCCGAGATCTAACCTAGCGAAGTGCCGCGCAGTACGGAAACATGGTACCACCGTTTGCGTGTCACCGTTCTGTAGTGTTGTTCTCCGTATCTCGAACGATCTCAACTCGATTCCGTCGCTGACTCTATATACCCCTTTTTTCCACTCTTTCCCTCTTCTCTCGCAAAGTGCGCGACAAGCAAATAAAACGCACGAACCGCTCGAATCGAACCGTCGGCCGATGGACATTGGCACGTGATTCTTTTTTTCGTCACGCACCCACCCTCCGGGCGGTCCATTAACGTCAATCGCCGGCAATAAGCTTAGCGAATCATTCTTTGGTTACCTCCGGTAGTCGAACCTGAGACGGCAAAAAAAAAAAGGGTCGCCCGGCGTTAAGGTCTGTCTCTTATCTTTTTCGTCGGTTGCACTCTCCTGTATTTCCCTTAACCTGACCCTGCCCTTCGACGGAATGCATACAGAATACGTTCGATTTATCATAAATATTAGAGTAACGTAGAGAAAAATATATATTTATCATGCATGTATATAATATTTTGCCTGCCTGACTTGCATTAAAAGTATTAATACGAGATATTCCAATCCCTCTATTATGACGTTGAATATCTAGGTCACTATACCGAAGATATTTTATTTCCTAATTATTTACAATTTATTTAAAAAAAATGTTTACTGTGATATTGTTAATCTAATTTTTATTCTGGAATTTTTAGAATTATCAAGAGAGTATCCAGATTTATTAATATAAATTAGTTATTTTAAATTTATTTATATAAATTGTTATATTTCTATAAATTGTTAAAATATTATTTTAAATTATTAAAATTATTTATATAAAATATTAATATTTGTAATTTGGTTAAAATAATTGTTAAAATATTTCTTTTAAATTCAGGTTTATTGTTTTTTATATATGTATGATATATAAGCACAGATTTATGTTTTAAGATATATACACACACACACACACTCTTTAAATAATATTTAAATTCCAAAAGAAATTTAAATTGGATATCATACATCTCGCATATTCTTTATGACTAATATAGTAGATATTCTTATTTTAATATCATCTTAAATAATGTTTTAAAATGCTAATGTGATTCTCTGATTGATTTATGATCTTTTGAAATTGTACTTAAAGAATATTAAATATAAGAATCTATTATACTTATATGTATATATTTATATGTAAATATAAGAATCTATTATACTTATATGTATATACTTATATGTAAATATAAGAATCTACTACATAATTATACTATGATTAGTCTATATACAAGTCTTTTGATATAAGAATATTAATAATTTATTTCAATATTTTTGCAATACATATATATATTATGATAAATTTGTAAAGATTTAAAAAAAATTCCATGTAATGTCACAAGTTACATCATAACTGAAAATAAATATTTTTCAGGCAAGGACAAATCAGGTAACAAAGTGTAGAAAGTGCTTATGGAATTACACTTTTTCTGGACCAATTGTCAAGAGATGTATTAAAGTCGTTGCAGTTATTACTGAAGTCATCATCGAAGTCAATAGCGTTTGAAGAATCTTCCTCTTTCATAACGAAAAGAAATTAACAAAAAAAAAAGAAAAATGGCGGGCACTTACACGAAAAAGGAATTTGGTGTGGGGCCTGAAGAACAGACCCTTCTGAAAGACTCCAATGGAACCCGCATCATACCTTCCAAAGGTAATGGGGCCGTGGTACGCTGTCTGTCGCGTCCGCTATCATGGCAGGGGAATGCAGCTTTCTTGGAATGGTTTTCTTGTGGTTTTATTTTTCCACCATACAGCTGCCCAAACCAGTCTGCAGAAGAGGCTTTTATGCTGTGGACTTAGCATCCTTGGCATTGACAGTGAAGTATTTGTGAATTTAACATTGGTTCGTAGCTTGTTGAGCTTGATATAAACAAAATATATCTTAATAATTTTATAAAGTAAGCAGACTGAACAGACTGGTTTGATTAAAATTAGTAATATATAATTTCTGTGCTTGATACATAATATTTATAATTTAAGATAATTCAGTAAAGTTTGAATAATTGGTTCTTTCTAAGTTGATTTTAGATAAAAGTTTAAATAAATTTAAAATAATTTAGTCTATGGAATAAAATTCTAATTGTTGCATATATGTATTATCAACATCCAAATATTTAGATTAATCTTAATATATTGTAAATTGTATTCTATGACTGATAATTATATTAGTTATATTACTAAAGTAAATTTAGTTCAAAACTAATGGATTCAAATAAGTTGATTCATATCTAGCAGTTTAATGAATTATCTTAATTATTAACAATATTTCTAGAGGAACATACACATTTTCTTAGGTCTCTCTCTTGTAAGCTTTTCTGAGACATCATTAATTTCATTTATCCCTTTATTATAATATTTATAATTCAACTGAAGATAAAATATTTTAAAAATACAAGAGAATCCATATTTATACCTTATTTTTATCTATAAATGCATGAATTAAGCATATAGTTTACATTATATATACTAATAAATTTCAGAAATAAACATATTTTTAATAAAAATGAGACGTGAATACGGTTTCTCTTATCTGAAAATGCATGCTCATTATTTGCTATTTTAATTGCTTTGTAACAGATAATAGATATATTTTTATAATTGACTATGTACAATTTCTGTACTTAAAGTGAAATAAGTATTTGTTCAAGATTCAAAATCAAGAAGGGAATTCCTATAGTGTTTATAGTATAACAATAAAAATAAATCTTACAAAGTGCCTTAAAATTTTTATTCAATAAATATAACAAAAATTGATTTATCATAATGTTATAATAATTAATTATAAAAAATGTAAATAAAATCCACCTATACATATACTTACTTATATTTAATTTTATTATATTTACATATTTATTTCTTTATATATTTTTAATTGTTCATGTTTTATTAATGTACATATATGATATATATATGATATACATATATATATACATATATGATATATATATAATTTTATTTACTTTTATATTTGTGTTATATATTTGTATACTATTATTTCATATATATAATTTATTGTATAATTCAAACTATAATTTTCTGCATTTCTAATTCTAACTTTTAAAAGAATAATTTTCTTGTATACAAAGATTTATTTTGCTGATGTAACATGTTGATTCAGCTAAATGAGTTTGAGTCTTTCATATTATCTTTCATATTTCACTAATAGCCAGAAGCGCAAGACTTGAAACAGTATTTCTAATCTCACATTCAGTGAAAAATTATTATCAATTATTATGTTCTATTGAGCAAAGTATTTCTTTACTATATTTATCTTGCTAAATTCTTTTTAAATAATTAAACACAAGACAAATGATTAAAGAAGGTAATTAACAGTTTTTTCCTTAAATATAATTGACAGAAAAATATAATGTTATGTATTATATAATGTATTATATAATCAAATCTTTTTATCTTATACGTTACATTTACTTTTTTTATTAATTGAGAGTAATATTTGATATGTATATAATGTAGTTTATTTATATATTTTTTGTTTTGTTTGTATTTTTTTATATTGTATCATATTAGTGTGTCAAGCTTTGTAAAAGATTGTACTATTAAGAGTATGATATCTTTCTTTATAGATTCTGTTGTACATTTTATAACATTTCCTCTGTTTGTTAGTAATTGACAATCATTTATTGTATCACGCATGCATATAACTTTGTATTATTTTAATTATTATTTTTCTGTATATATATATGTATATTGTGTG